AAGCTCCCAGGGGGTGGGGGTGTCCAGGACAGAACTGGGGGAGACTTAGGAAAGGGAGCTGCAGTCAGCACCCTTGTCCTTCTCAGCAGAGAAATTCCACGAGGAGGGAGGACCGCAAGGCCAGCTGTCCGCTGCAAGTCTCCCCAGGGCCTGGAGCGTGTCCACTGGAACCATTCCCACCGTCCGAGGGCCACCCCGGCTGTGTTATTCTTGGGTGGTGATACTTCCCCACCTCCGAAGCCACGTTTCTCTCCAGCACTGACAGGGCCTCCCCCAGCCCCTGCGGCCCTGCCTGGCTCTCAGGCTCTGCAGCTCACACCCGAGCCCGGGGCCTCGGGACCCACACCCCAGGAGACGGGTGGAAGAGCAAAAGCCGGTGCCAGAGCCTCTGGGCCGCTGGGACTCGCAGGGTCCGACTGGTTTATAACTGCAGCCGGGGTCCCAGCCCCTCTGCCCATCACCACGTTTGTAAAGCACAGCTACCCAGAGCAGGTCCACCCCACCCAGCACCCCTGTCTGTGGGACTCCGCCTGGTGACCCCCCGCACCCCAGGTGACCCACAAGCAGCCGCCCCCGGTGGGGCCTGCGGTGGCAGAATCAGGTGCTGAATTCTGGACAGAACATCCCTGCCCTGGCTCGGAGCAGCCGGCCGTCCTCCCCCACCACCAGCAAGTGGGACGTGGGACGCACCAGAAACCACAGCATCACCCGCGGGGCTAGGCCAGCAGCAGCTGGATGGCAGCAGAGGGGACGTGCCGTCTCCCACATACTGGGCAGGAAGCAAAGGGGAGCTTTTCGATGGAACAGACCTAGCGCCTTTGCTCCGCTAAAACGACCAGCTCCGGGAGGCCGCAGAGTGGCTGACACCAAGGCTCTGCATTCGATTCCTGGCCCTACCTCCCAGTGGAGGGATCGTGCCCAGTTGCTTTAACTCCCTGAGCCTCTGTCCAGAGGAAGAGCTGGCAAAGATAGGCAGGCGGGAGGCGAGGAGGACCCTGCTGTGTGCGTGAGGGTGTGGCAGCCACCAGAGTCGCCAGTGCAACGGGGACACCTAGGGACTCAGATTCTGAGATGCAGAGCCTCTGCCAGCTGTCACCCAACTCAAGGAGCCTCAGGCAGTGGGAGAGGGTGCCAGGCCCTCCGGCCCCACCAGTGTGGCCACAGGCAAGGAGCCCGCAGAAGCCTGCCACCTCGGAAGGCATGAATGCAGGGGCCTGGGGTCGAGATCCCCTCAGCGGTGATCTCAGTGACGGATGGTCAGGAGGGAGCTCCATGTCCATGGAGCCGCACAGCTTCCTGCTGGTGCTGATCTCCCGGAACCCCTGCTCCACGGACGTCCTTCTCACCTTGTCCCTCTCGGGGAAGCCTCCCCCGCCAGACCCTGTCCAGGAAAGAACTCGGGTTCTTTCAAGTTCTGGCTCTGCCACTTGGAGGCTGTGTGACACCCAGGCCATATAAACCTGCTGACTCCACGCTCCTCAGCCGTAAAGTATCGACACTACTTCTTACCTCACCAGATACTGACGCAGGACGCCACGCACAACCTTAGCCCACTGAGTAAGACAACCTCATGGAGAGGGAGTCCACATTCTGTTCATTTACACACCAGGAGACAAGAGCCAGAGACCTTATAACTTGCTCAAGGTCAGAGCGCTAGTACCTGGCCAACCTGGGACCTGAACCCAGGCCTATTATTCCATAAATCCATCCATCATCCATCATCCATCCATTCATCCATCCATCCATCCATCCATCCATGTGTGTGCGGCTCACTGTATGCAAACATGGGACATTAAACACTAAACAAGACACAGTCCCTGTCCCAGGGAGCTTGTACCTGGCCTGAGAGGCACATTTCAAAGGTGGCAGTGCCGAGGAAGTGGTAACAGGACAGTGGGACGGACAGTAACTGGGGCGGATGGAGGTGGGATGCCCGACGTCGGCAGGCCAGGGAAAGTCGGTCTGAGAATGTCTAAGAGATGAGGAGGCAGCAGCCATCGAAGAGCCAGGCCCAGGAGGTGCAACGTCCCTGAGGCAGGACCGACCACGTGGCACAGTCCCCGTGCAGGACGCATGCACAGAGGCCGGGGATGCAGCTGGGCCCCACTGGGCAGGCCCTGGGGCCCTGCTAGGAAACGTGGATGTTTTTTCCTAAGTTCAGTAAGAGCTACTGGCTGATTCTAAGCAGGAGGCGCAGTGTGACGCGACGTACAATTCTGAAAGGTCACGGTGGCCTGAGTTGGTAGCCACAGCGGGACATGGCCCCACATGGTGCTGGGTAAAGCGCCTGTCGTGGCCTCGGACACACTGTGGCGCTTCCTAGAGGGGCTCTCCCTCATCTCCCCCTTCCACTACCCTTAGCATCCCAGTACTGTGGTCTTGAGCAAATGACGTCACCTGCGGACAGGCTTACTTTGGCCCTGTCTCTCCCAGTGCCCGACACACAGTAGGTACGCAGAAAAGGCCAGACATTGGACGGATGGATACCTGTGAAAACAACTGCAAGTTCACGGGGCCCAAGGCAGGGAAATCAGGGGTCTTGGGCCCACACTTACGGTCTTGGGGGGCGGGAGGTCCGGGAGACTCTTCTGAGGGGCCGTGGCGTGCTGGCGGGGCTCCCCGTTGGCCAGTGGGCTCCGCTCCTCCGGCGCTGTGGGCAGCAAGCAGAAGCTCCGGTGAGGGCTGCCAGCCTCCAGCCTCGCAGCAGGCCCTCATTACCCAGGAATGCCTGCTCACGTGCACCCGCCCGGAGTGCCATTTGAGCAGGTGTTCATTACCCAGGCAGCCGGGGCTGCAGCCAAGGTTGTTTCCCCTCCAAGAATAGGACCCAGCGGTGCCCCCGCCACAGATTCCTCAGGAGGAGCTGGTTTGGGGTCTGGCAGGCTCCGCACCCTCGCCTCCACCTGCCCCGTGTCAAAAATGGCCTAGCCGCAGAGCCCCAGCGCCCAGGGGAGCTGCCCTGTGGTGGCTATATTAAGCCACGCTGGGCTCCGACCCTGTGATTAGAGCTCTTTCCTTCCCACAGTTTAGCGGGAAGGCCAGCGGCCCCGGGCGCAGTGGCTGCTTCCATGCCGGTGGGTGCTGCTGAGCCCGGGCCTGGCCATGGGGCAGGAGGTGGAAAAGCCACATGAATAACTTGACCACCAACCCCCCCATCCCTCCGCCCTCCCCCGCCCCCCCCCCCCGGGGCCACTTTGTAATTTTTTGGTTTTGGCACCCAAGGCCCCGGAAAACCCAATGGTATTTAACCATTTTGGGCGGGGGCCCATCTTTAAGAAAACTCTCACTTTCTACTTGTTTTACGTTGAGGCTTTATTTGGATAATGCAAGGGAAAAACTTCCTTTAATGGAAGGACAGCTTCGGATTTCTTTCACAAATCTAAAACGTCTATCCTGGACCTTTAGGTCTCAACCAAATGAGAGATATATTTCTGACTCCGCTCGACTAAAAGATATATGTATGGTAAACCTCCGGACCATCTCGAGGCTCGCCCATTTAATAAACATGAAATTGTTCTATAAAAAAAGAGGAGACAGGCACAGACCCGCATATGGGGCACTACCTCCGAAACATGAAACTACCTTACCGCAAAGAGAGTCCAGGGATAAAAACCATTTATAATTGAGCGTGCAGGCTCAATATAACTGATTACTTCCGCCAGGGAAACGTGCGATCCCCCCTATATCATTCTTAATTACCGCTGG